TAGGAAAGCTAACCGGACATTGTATCATTTACAGCGCTTGAGATCATTACACGCGATGTTCATCCTTATCTACGATGCTGTGCATTAGAAAGTTAATACCCATGCGTGTAATTGCATACTGCAAACGTTAAGGAGTAATCGTAATTTAATACGAATCAAATCCAATATAAGATAATCGAATAACTATTCACACAAAACCAATTGCTTCCATCATTTACTCTGTAGATACATAACACCCAGCGAAAGGTAATATAATATCGTTATGTCTACAGAGACCTTCAGTTGATTAACTACCTTACAATCTCTTCATTTAATTGATAATCGTTGTGGCAGGTTGCACAATATGTCAGGAAAGTTTCTAGTCTTATATTGTATCTCTTTACAAAAGGAAGAAGTCAAAAGCGAACAATAATATTTTTCACGTTAATGTTTGAGAATTTCGTAATATTGTATTGAATGCCTCTGCCACCATAAATTATATAAGTAAATATTCCTTTTCTTACAAACAAAATTAAAGTATTTTTATAAATGGTACCTATATAATTTGCTTACATCTAAATAACAAAGATATACGGCTGTAAAGTGGAAAATAATTAGGAAGTATAGAGCGCTAAAGGAACAGTGGATTGGTATGAGATATAAAGAAGTAGAAGAAATGTTTGAAGTAGGTAACACCGATGAAGTTTATAATATAATCAAAAGGAATTTTAGAGAAGTAGGAGTCATTTTGATACAAAATAAGGAAAAGGCAGATGGCAGTAGAAGATATACTAGAGAAGGAAGATAGTGTGGAGTTAGGTGAGCTAGGTTATCCTATAATGAGAGAAGACTTCAATGTAGCATTAAAAAATTTAAAGAATAATAAGGTGCCAAGTATGGGATACATGGGCAAATTCTAAACTACATGGTTAGAGGTTAGAGAAATGTATGTTACACTTAATTAGTCACATTTACGAGATGGGGAAAGTTCCAGAGGATTATAAACGGAACGTCGTAGTAGCCATACCTAAAAAGAGAGGGGCGAATAGGTACGAGACATTTAGAAAAATTAGGTCAACATCCCATGCGTCAAAAACCTTAACTAGAATTGTACAGAGGAGGATGGAAAAAAGGGAAGAAGAGCTGTTAGAAGATGATGAATTTGGGTTTAGAAGGAATAAAGGAACGGAGGAGGCCATTCTAGCTTATGGGTAACAATAGATAGAAGTCAGACAGGGATGCACACTGTCGCCGCTACTTTAAAATGTATACATATCGAAGACGCATCACATCATCATTAAAGACACTACATGTGTAGGGATAGATACACAGGGGCGAAAGATTAGTATCTTAGATTTGCGGATGATATATATAGCAATATTAGCATCTAGCAAGGAAGAGTTAGAGATAGCTTTAAATAAAATGGATGCGGTACTGACATAACAGTACTGTATGAAAATAAACAAATATAAAACAAAAATGCAAGGGAAGAGGAAAGAGCGAATATAAATATAGTAAACGAAAAATTAGAAGTGGCCGATTTTAGGTATCTATGAAGTCAGAAAAGTCAGGACGGAAGGATTAGTAGGGATATAAAGCAGAGGATAGCGCAGGGTCTTGTCGCCTTTAATAAAAAGAAGTCAGTTCTATGCTCGCGAACGGTTAATTTAGAAATTCGAAAAAGTTTGTTAAAGGTGTGTTTGGAGCGCATCGTTGTACGGGCTCGAAAGATAGACGGTGGGCGCGGCGGAAAAGAAAAGGTTAGAAGCGTTCGATATGTGATGTTACCGGCGAATGATGAGGATACCGTGGATAGAGAAGGTTAGAAATGAAGAGGTATTAGATAGAATAGGAGAACAGAGGACTCTATGGAAGTTAGTAAAAAATTGGCGAGATAAATTGGTGGGACACCTTCTCAGGCATGAAGGTCTAGTCAAAGACATACTAGAGTCAGAAACAGGAGTTAAGAGGAGTAGAGGTAGACCTAGATTAGATTACTGTTCGCAAATCGTTAAGGATGTGGGATGTTCCAGTTTTAGAGAAATGCGAAGATTAGCTCAGGATAGGAAGGAGTAGAGGTGCGGGTTCAACCAGTCTTAGGACTGATGACCTTATGATGATGATGGGCATTTTTCCTAGATCCAATTCAAACAAACATCGAAGTGCATTCTCATGCACCGTCCATATGTGACCTGTGACAACCATGTTTGCATATAGTGTATATGAATACATTGGTTTTTGGTTGAAATTTCTATATTCAACTAATTTTTGTATTTTTTGTGGTAATACTTTGCTAATCGAACGCTGAGTGCAGATTATTACTAATCATTACGTACAGTTGACTTGTCTGCGGATCAGCCGTTTGCGAAGGTCACGAATAGGTATGTGTATTTCGTTGAAAGCCGATAAGATAACACGGTAACTATTTTCAATCATTAACGGCTCGTTAACTAGGAATACCTTTTGTGCACAAGTTTTACATCTCCTACGTTGTGGTACTATGACAGGATGTACTCTACAGTGCCTCCAGATGTTTCCTTTCAAATACTCCGGAATACTGATCAGGCATATTGTATACAAATAGTTTAAGTTCCCAGTCAGTAATCTATGGACACTACCAAACATGAATTTAAATTTCGAATTTATTTATTTTTGCCAATGCACTGTAGGCACATAGGCACCCTATAAATTTCGAATTCTTGTATTTTTTGCACTAATCACGTTAATACTGCAATAATTTAATCATTTAAACTATTGAATATAAATAAATAAGAATTTTCTAAAATAAGAATTTTATTATGCATTTATTTGTTTTGGCTATGAATTTTCATGTCAATTAACACAATTGACTCCTGACGCTAGTTCGAATGTGACATCCAGTCAGCGCAGCCTGTCCGGTGACCGATGTCAATAGAAGTTTGTTTTAACAAATATCTCACAACTAAATCATCATTCGCATATTTCTCATGTCTGTCATGAGGATTTTTGATAAATATTTGTGGAATATATAGATGTATTTTCAAATTTATCATAAGTTTGTTCCTTTTCCTACTACTTGTTTATCATCATAATGTCGTTCTAGGACTGGTTGGACACCCACGTCCACAATTTCCTATCCTGAACTAATCTTCGGATTTCCCTAAAACTAGAACATCCCACATCCTTAACTATTTGCGAACTCAACTCCTGTTTCTGCATCTAGTATGTCTCTGACTAGCTCTTCATGCCTGAGAAGAAGTCCTACCAACCTACCTCGCCTATTTTTTATTGACTTACATAGAGTCCTCTGCTCTCCTATTCTTTCTAATACCTCTTCATTTCCAACCTTCTCTATCCGCGGTATTCTCATAATTCGCCTGTAATACCACATTTCGAACGTTTCTAACCTTTGCCGCCGCGCCCACTGTCTGTGTTTCGCAACTGTACAGTGCGTCACTCCCAACATACACTTTTAACAATCTTTCTCGAATTTCTATATTAACCGTTCGAGAGCATATAAATGACTTCTACTACTAGTTTATAACTAAAATGTCCCAGTGACGATATAAACGAAAAAAAAGCAAAATTTTGATTTTTTTCTAATTATATGAAGTTTAAATCTTTAACTTTAATATACAACTGTATGCGTTACTTTTGCCTCAGAATATTAATTTAAGGTCGAGTTTTGAAACTTGCCACGTATTTTTAATGTCTGTCAATAAGCAAGCATTGTCAAAACATTTAACATATGGCTTTGAGTCCAAGGTTGATAAAAATCGTTATTTTCTTAAATAAAAAGAAGAAAGTCGTGAGTTTAATCAATCTGATTGTTTTTGAGATAAAATCATGATTAATTTAAAATAACGAAGTTAGTTGGACACTTAAAAATGTATTTATTCATAAAAGTAGTAAAAACTAGAAACATTTTTGTTAATATTTATTTTTTATTATAATAATTAATTAAGGATTTAACTGCTTTTTACAAAAACACAACTTTTAAAACAATTTTAATGCTTACCTACACAAAAGAGAACTGTAGCTACCAAAAGAAAAAGTAAATATTGTTGAACTTCTACAATACCCAAGTTTGTTTCTTATATCTGAATATACGAATCAGTACACTATAAATAGTTAGAATTGTTAGAAAATAGGCAATTCTAACTAATATTACAAAATTTAAATATGAGTTTGTTTGTTTGCTACCATTCCACGCCTTAACTACTCAACCGATTACGATAAATTTTTGTACACAGGTTGTCAGGGGTACAAAAAAGGACTTAGGGTACTTTTTATCCAGAAGAAATATACTGTTCCAGAGGTATCAAAAAGTTAGTTTTATGTCGTCGTCGATAATCTTTGACACGTATCATGAAATTTCCTACAGACATTTTCAGCGGTACAGAAAAGGATATGTTACCTTTTATCCAGAAAGGTACACTGTTCCTGAAGGATAGATAAAAGTAGTTTAATGTGGTCGTCGATGGTTTTGATACCTATTTAGGTCATCAATTCAAGCAAAGCCACGACTTAAACCTGTCATGAAATTTTGTACACATATTTTCAGGGATACAGAAAAGGACACAGGGTACCTTTTATCAAAAAAAAACTGTTCCCGAGGGATAAAAAAAAATATTTTTATGTGGTCGTCGATGATCTTTGACGTATTTATATCAATAAAAACTTAAGAACTAACCAAAATTAGATTTACTAAAAAACCGTGAAAAAAAATACGATTTTAATCATGATTTAAATCATCTCAACCATGTTTTCGTCTACACTTGAATTAATTATTTTACTATATTTGCGGTAAAAAATTGAAAAGTAGTATCTCCATAAATAAATAACGAATTACATAAACGCTTTAAACAAATTTCTATTTGTGTATTGAAGAAATCAAGCCGTACTTATTTTAAAATATTCGTAAATACAGCACGTTTATCAACAACGGTAATCATTTTTGACTGTGATGAGTCCTTCCTATCTATACTTTTAGTATCTAATGCAACTAACATATAATATACAAACGTGCTCTCGGTGTTTCGTTATTATAGGGACACTAAAATTCTGTTTAATTGTGTAGTGTGCCAAACAGTTTCACAACCGAGATAAAGACGTAGTTTATAAATACATAACTGCTCTGCGTCGGAAATATTATTTAATTGATATTTAAGTAATAACAACAAAAATGTATACAAAAATGAATTTCCCAGTCAAAAAAGTGTTAGTGTTGTATACTGGCGGGACCATTGGTATGCAAAGAAATTCTCAAGGAGGTACAAAATTTTCGGATACATTTACCAAGTATTTACATCTTTTTTTACTTAGTTTACGAACCACTTAATGGCAAATTTGTTGAGGAAATAAGACGTATTGGTGTATTTCATAATCAAAAACTGGCAGAGGAGTTACGGTTATCAGCAGAACAACTCATTATTCCGTAAGTCAATTTTACAATCATACATTTATCTTATTTAACTCACAGAAAATTGAGTTACCTTTCATATTAAACATATTTTCCATTTTTTTTTTAATGTGCATATATCTATAGTTTTAGAGAATATTATTTGCAGTTCACACTTATTATTTTCAAAATATCAAGATTTACCCTAAAAGTGCGTTATTTTTTTAACATCCCCTGTTAAATGTTACTGAAATATCCAATATTCTTTCCTTTAATTATATGATGATGCATATGATAAGTAATTAAAATAAAAATAATTTAGACATTTCGCTAATTAAGTATAATATAAATCAGTTATAATATATGGGAAAAAAATTAACCTACATTGTAGGTAGGTATTCATACATAAAATAGATACATACTATTATTTTATAACAATTATTAGAGAAAAACAATAACAATTATACAACTCATAATAACATCTTTTCTGTTACGTACATTAAGTAAAAATTTATATCTGGGCCACTGTCAAATGTCAAACGATTAAAGATTAATTCGAATTAAAGGTAAATACATAATAACAAATTAATTGGGGTATTGATATCAACAGTAATTTCCTAAGACAAATGTCGTAATGTAACCATGTAAACGTTGATTACTTCTGAAATGTTAAATTATTCAGTAATAACTGGTTAAACACGAGGGACGTGCGACTTTGAACTTTAGCAAATTCCTTTTCCTATATTAATTTATTATTATTGATTGTCGTTTACAAAATGATTTGTTTTGAAATTGTTGCTATAAGTATAAAAGTGAAAAATTGTGATAAGCACCAACACTGAGAAAGGTAAAGAAAACTTTTTTTTTTAAATATTAGCAACAAAATAACTACCTTGAAAAAACCTTCCTTTGCAAATGTTGCTTCGGAGAGCTACATTAATTACCTTAGATGTTAAATAACCCGGACACAAACTTTTAAAAAATTAGGAATACTTATGCAAGTTTCTGAAATATGTTGCAAACTTTGAAGGGCGTTAATTCGAAGTAATAGTGAATCACATAATGAGTAATAATGCAACGTACAGTGAAATTACGATAACAACTAAGCAGCCACATCGATGGAGAACGTAAACAGTGACTGTTGTCAACAGCTTATTACTACACTACCACATAATAATGTTAAGACGCCCATTATAATAAAAATTAATTAAGTATCTAGTTTTTTCATTACTGATAGTATGTATTACATTTGAAGTTTCACCTCGATATGGTAGTAAGAACCGAATGAAAGAAAGAAACAATGTTAGAGCTTAATTTATTTACCTAGTTAATAATAATAATAATATCCGTAAAAATAAACAGTAATAGGTAAATAAATATCCTCTAAGTAGGTGAAATTGTAATTTTATTAATTGTAAGGTAAATTTCCAAAGCACCATTGAGATATTACCAGTAGCTCTTTTCTCCCATTAGATAAAATTAATTGCAACATTAGTAAACACATACACAGACACATCTACGTACGTTCGAAATTCGAAGTCTGTGCTAAAACATTTCGAGGGGCTATAAAAATTATCTCCCAATTGTCACCCAAAAACGTCGGACATTTGTCTTAACACGGTCATGAAAATTATTAGCAGCCATCTGCAGTGGTGTTTGATACACACGCTGTTTCATACAAGCCTATTCAAAGAAATCAAGCGGATTTAGATCTAGACTTAGCGCCGACTAACATACACGCACTGGTCAATGCAAGAATACTATTCTACACTGACCTGTGACGCTGACACACCGACCTACTGTCAAAGGTTTCAACTGATCAAATGCTTACAAGCCTACAACGGTAAAAGAACAAACTACTACTCTAGGCTGGCTGTAACATAGGCATCGTCAATAACACATAATCTAATCTAACAAATAACAAACAATGCGTGATCATGAAATACACTAGAAACGCAATATGGATGCTGCTAATTACCAGCATTTCCTTGTGTAATTTTACCAGGGCCGGACTGGTCCTTTCAAATACATTTTTCTTAAAAATGGTGAACTTTCGGACCCTCAAACATTAATATTTTATAGTGCTCTATTACCTCCTGCAAGCTTCTTACTTATTGCTACTACTAACACCCTGTATGTACATATTGTAGATACGTTAAGCGCGCAAACCATTTTGTCGTGGTTCTCGAGCTTGGAACTAGTTAAACCAAATTTAAGTTAACCCAATCGAAGGCAATTTTAATTTTTCTTCTGTAGGTGCAGATCCTTGTACACAAGAGAAAGTACCCGGCTACATAACACTCACCTACAATTAGTTCCTGTTGTCTTTTCCTACCGTAACCTTATGATCCTGATCAATAAAATGAAAACATTAAGTTACAGTATATAAGACAACTAAAAAATAGGGTTTAATAAAATCGCAATTACACATACTGTTGCTGTATTGTGAATTTTCGAACACGAGAAAACAATCATAAGTAACTTTTCTTCTAAAGGATCATTTTATCAATAAACATTAATTAATCATTTCAATTAAACAGACTTAATCATTAGAATATGAGGCATTTACATATGGTCTTAAAACAACTCTCCATTAATTTTACACATAGGTACAAATTTAATTTAATGATACAATCAAAGCAACAACGTTACGATCTGTTCGGTCTCAGCCCAACATCAACTAAAACCTACAGCAATGCGACTCAGCCATGTGAAACCTCACTGTCTTACCCTTGGGGTGCAAACTCCTTGAACTCTTACTTTACACGTTAGAACGGAAATTGCAGAGATTAATAAAAACATCCGGACTTTACCTAAAATTAACTTGTCGACTCCTGGTATAAGACTTGCAAAACGGCGGCCGATTCTCATCCTGCTCCTGTGACGTTAGGCAAGGCAAGCAGACCTGTATATTCACGATCTCATTTTTTTAACTCAGCTATTCTACACTTGCCTCCAAACAAAGCAACCAAGCCCTAAATCATGTTAAACTTACTGCTCACTTCTTATACATCTTTCTTTCATTAAAGATACAAGGAGTATTATAACCTTTACATAATCTAGAGCAAGACACTAAATCTAATTTTAATAGGTATTATTATTCTTAATCAAACCGCAACCAGTACAAATATTAATTCGTAAACATTACTTACCTGACTTACTAACTGACTGTATTACAAAAATTGCTTTAGCACTTTTACAAACTTCTATTTGTAAGAATGCACATGTAATAATATTTCAGAGATGTACTAATGAAGAACAACCTAATTTACACCATTAAGGAGTATGATCCTCTTCTGGACTCCAGCAATATGTCGATTGAGGATTGGCAGAAAATAGCTGAAGATATTGAGGTATGTTATTTTAGAAAAAGTATTTACATACAGAATATTAAGTTTTTAGGTATGCATTTAATAGAACTCATAATATGTGGTTCGCGATTTTCTAATACTTATGCAAATACGTACTAGCTCCCATCAATACACTGTACATTAGATTCGTTCGTACGTACTGTTCGTTTCAAGAAGTTGGAGATGTGCCCCATCCCTTTATTACGATGCGCCGTAACATAATTCCAAATCCAATCATATTTGTCTGCGTAGCTCATTTCTTCACCGATCATCGAGCGAGAGCTAGGCAAAAGTGTACAGTACCATTTGCAAACTTATTTAAACTGCCTCGTTAAAATTTAAGAATATGCTTTATTTAAAAGCATATTTAGCCGAAAATAGTAACAAGTGAATTAACTTAACGCTCTACACACATAAAACGTTTGCTTTGTTTTCTATTGTTAATTTATATACATTTTTGTTTTAAGAAATTGCTAAACATTTTCGTCTAGTACTGTACAGTTCTAGCCGATCTCCTAAGACCGCCCATCGAGAGCTCTGCTNAATACATGTAAGTTTGATGTCTTATCAAACTTAGTCATCTAGTTGTCTACGTCATTGACTTATATCTACGTGACTAAAGTAACTGATAAACACCCTTTAATAACAGCTAGCCATTTCGCTTGTTAATTGTCATATTCGTTCACAGAATTTGTAAATATAATTAGGACGAAGTACCGACAATTGTATTGATTCAGGTGCGGTATTAATGTTAAAATAATAGTTATATCGACCTATCGCCCTCACCTATAGGCTGTCCCACTCCACAAGTTATATAAGCGCTAATCAACATATTAGATTAACTCTTTTTTTTATAGACAAAATCGCATTGTAGTAACTGTTATTGTGTGTATGTTCGGTATAATAATAAATATTGTCTCTAACGTTTATTAGTGTAATCGTTTTTTAAAAGATTAGTTTTGCTCGGCATTCGACAAAACTTAATGTTAGCGTTCATATAAATTGTAAGTATCATTTTGTTATTTCATGTGTTTAATTACAGTTATTACTTGCTGCATCTACACTTGTGTTATATCTCTACCTTTCCTCGATTTTATTAAGTCTCTGATTTCGAGACATATACATACAATATTTTACTCAGTAGCTACAATTTGTTTAATTTCTATTTGCAATAATCCTGTTATAAGTCAGTCTGAGTGCTTTACACCTCTATTGATACAAATATCGTGCCGTTTTATGTCTTTTTTAATGTAATAAATCTTGAAAACCCCAGAAATTGTGTATTACGCCACGCTGCTGCATTTAAATTTGGAGGAAACATGGCGGCTCTCGCTCGTATGGCCACACTGTTACTATAAAGTCACTGTAGTTCCGACTATTTTTGTCTTGCTCACGCCTAGTGTGTATTCTTTCTATCTTCGCGCAGATTTCTTCAAGGTCACAATTCAAACAAATTCAAATGGGCTGTATATGTGTATGCGTGTGTATGTGCGGCTGTGTGTGCTTATGTGAAATGCGTATAGGTGTGTCTTCTTCCTTTTCCTTGCTTTTTACTATCACTTGGAGTTGGTCCTCCTCATTTTTATGCATCAGGTACTCTGTCCTAAGTTGTCTGTGTCTCCAGCTGAGCCTGTTCCATATCTCTGGTTATGGTTATCCATCACGTAACTGGCAGTAGTCCTCTGCTCTTCTCCGTATCTAGAATTGCCAAAGCCCTCTTAACCGTGCACTCTTCGTTTCGCCTCATCACATGTCCGAACCATGTCGTACAGCTCTCGACCATCTTTTTTTTTAAAGTAGAAGCTACTTTGAAGAAACCTCTAATGTGATCTTGCGTACTTTGTTAGGACTCGTCACTTGACAGCCCAGCATTCGGAATCATACATCATGACAGATCCGACTGTCTTTTTATAGATTTTACCCTTTAGTTGCATTGGTATTCGGTTATGACAGAGTATCCCAGCCAGGGTTCTCCACCTCAGGTTCGTTGCGTTAATTCAATGGGTCACATATACGTCTGTATTTACATCGGAAGTTAACATTGATTCCAGGTGTTTAAGTTCGTAAACTGTAGGCATTGATTGCCCTTCAATATAGGTTTCTGCGTTTGATCAACGCTGGTCGATAAAGCTGCACTTCAAGTATTCTGTTTTGCTTGAACTGCTGCGGAGACCATTCTTCTGGAGTGCTTGCCTCCGTTGCGAAAAAGCAGTATTTAGTTTCAGGATTCTGCATCATTTTGCTGATGGAATTTATGAAATGCCATCACTTGGAGTTGGCCCCCCTCCTTTTTAGGTATCAGGAACTCTATCTTAGATTGTCTGTCTCGAACTGTGCCCATTCCATATCTCTGGTAACGGTTATCCATCACGTAACTACCAGTAATCCCCTGATCCTCTCCATATCTGGAATGGTCAAAGCCCTCTTAACCGTGCACTCTTCGCTTTCTCCTCGTCACATGCCCAAACCAAGGCCTACTGCTCTCCACTATCTTTTTCACAGTAGAAGCTACTTTGATGGAACCTCTAAAATGCTCATTGCGTACTTTGTCAAGTCTCGTAACTCCTGTTTCCCATTTTCAAATCATTTCGGCGTATACTTTGTTCGTGCTTTTTCTTGACAGCCCAGCATTCGGAATCATACATCATGACAGATCTGACTGCCGTTTTGTAGATTTTACCCTTTAGTTGCGTCGGTATTCGGTTATGACAGAAAACCCCTGCTAGGGTTCTCCTCTCATCCACGCATTTACATCGGAAATTAACATTGATCCCAGATGATTAAGTTCGTTAACTTTGGGCATTGACTCCCCGTTAATATAGGTCTCGACGTTTGATGAACGCTGGTCGATTAAGCTTCACTTCAAGTATTCTGTTTTGCTTAAATAGCTGCGGAGACCATTGTTCTCGAGTGCTTGCCTCCATTGCGAAAAAGCAAGGACATACTTTATGGAAAAGGAGATTGGATATCTTTTGTGAGATAGTCCATAGACAGGTTAAATAAGAACGGAGTAATAATATCTGCAGATCCCTGACGGATTCCTACTTTAACCTTGTGTGTTGATTTGATTGTAGATATCCTGCACTATGGTAGCGTAGTGTTCTGGGATTTGTTTTGCCCTCAGCGTGTCATACCAATTTTCGTGGTATTCTATCGAAGGTTTTCTCGACATCTAAGACCACTAAATGTAAATCTTCTCTATTGGTCCCATGTTTTTCTATGAGCATTCATATTGCGTCTGTAGTTGATTTGCCTAACGTTAGCCTGCATTAGTTTTTACCTTTACTATTTGGCTACCAGTCAAATCAGTGACGTGAATTTAAATCTCAATGCATGTGCATTTGCAGAAGTTTCACATAACTTACTTTCATTTACATGCATAATTCAGAATAACAAAAGGATTTTTAGGATTCAACTCAGGATTTATAGTGAATTGTAAAGATTTTGGTTCTTCAAATAAATTATACCGCTTCTACAGTATTTTTATTGTCGAATTCTTTCCATGTTTCTGTTTTTCTGCGATTGTTACGATTTTAGCTTTTATAATCGTGGGTATTCCACGACGTACATTTTTGTGCTATGGGAGCTTCTTCTGTAATAACGGCCTACGCTCGTATCATAAAGTGAACTGTTAGGGTTCGACCATTCGACCTTCAGTTTTTGTTATATTACTATATAAATTTGCCGTTTTTACGGTTAAATATAAGACAGTTTTTCTCAAATCCTTATCAACACAAAAATTTTGGTATTTTTGCCGCCCCCACATTTCCTCCGCCCGGGGTTCATGGCGTCCTTTGCCCCCATATCATGTTTCGCCACTGAGTCAAATAAATATTGACTATATCATGGTGATAATATGCACAATCCTGCCGAGCACCTTCACCATTATTAACATAGGTAATCCGTATTTTTTAGCTGTATTTGTAGTAAATGTTAAAGTTTTGTTTCAAGACGCACGTTTCTATTTTTCATTTCATTTTTTTTAAGTATATGCACTTTCTGTAATTCTATAATCTTATAAAATAATTTGTTCTTGTAGGACGAATATGAAAACTTCGACGGTTTTGTTATACTCCATGGCACAGATACGATCGCATATACTGCATCAGCTCTGTCGTTCATTTTGGAAGGTCTCAGCAAACCTGTAATATTAACAGGTTCTCAGGTAATTATTAGTTTCTTTTGTTCATATTCTGTAGGATCAGATTTCTTCATGGATGTTAATAGGTACGAATTTTTGATTTCACGAGTTCAAGTTTGATGGAAAACTAATTTTCGGTTTCCATTTCCTATAACAAAACTTCAAAACATTAAATTTTATTTTATACCTACTAACAACATGAACGAAGAGAAACAAATCAATTAATAACAATCAACAGGCAAATTTTTGAAAAAGCTCAATATTGGTGTTTAACTCCGACTGTCGTGTGAGAACACCGATTGAGTCGTTTATCCAACGTCTCACTAGCTGTTATTGGCACCCAGAAGGTCTCAGATAACACCGACCGTGAAAGCCTTAGTCTTTTGAGCAAGCATATTTTTATTATATAATGAAAAATAATAATTACCTTTTATTTTGTGCCGTGCATAGAAGAAGATCTTTGATACAATTGAATAACCTAACTACCCAAATATAGCTATTACCTACCATAAATTAAATTCACATTGAACACATTTTCAGATTCCTATTTTTGAAGTTCGTAACGATGCAAAAGATAACTTCTTAACCTCATTAGTATTGTCTAGTTGCTTTGATATTAGAGAAGTTTGTATTTACTTTTCTAACAAACTTTTCCGTGGCAACAGAACGAGGAAAGTCAGTTCTGACCTTTTGGAAGCATTTAACTCGCCTAATTATCATATTCTTGCTGACTGTGGGATTGACATTAAAGGTACTCATTATTGATATTCTTTGAAAAAGCATAACATAAAAGTTTTATGGTCTCATAAAACCAGGCAAAATTAAACCTAGTTTTTTATTTTATTTCTGTTAAGATATGGTTGCAGTATGTATCATTAAATCATTAAAAAAACATACAAAACAGTTAGTTCAAGTTATTGGCAATATATCTACTGATAACTGTAGTATTTCATATGTATGATAAAACCCCCTTATTAAAAAGAGGGTGTGTATTTACCAAACTAAATCTACTACACAGTTTAATTTCTACACGGTGATTAAGAAACCATCAGTTGAATAAACAATATTAACTTCTTAGTTAACAATTAATCGAAGCCTCCGGTAGTATATCGCAATTTTGAACTTACACTTTCTTGCCAGTACACCATGGGTAGATTTCTAATGTTCCGCCAGTAACTTGGTATCAATCAATCACTTTGTTTTTATAGTACTAAATAACTAATGAGATCAAAATGATGACCCACAAATGTTGGTTTTGATAAATTGCTAACCAACAGTTAATGTTCTTTATTTAACTGCTTGTTTGCTACCAGTATACGGTATACGTGATAGACTCACTTTGGTAACCAAGCGATGCAGTTTTACTGTCTAGATTATAGCTTATCATTCTGTAAATCACCGATTCGATTGTTCTCGTGTATCCTTAGATCATTTAGGCAAACGCTGAGACAGTAATATTTCACAGAATTCCTTCCCTTCTGTCTTCGCTTCATTCGCCTCAACTGTCTGTCCCTGATCACTACCAACTTATCCATTCCCAAGCGTCCTAAAAGAAGTGTAGCGAGCACGAGTGTGTTTGTGTGCGATCGGGCACACGTGTGCGTGAATGGCTTATCGATTCGCCCACTAGTCGCGGGCGCCTTTCTTCATGAGCGCCGTATTTGTAAATGTGTGTGTCGTACCTGCGTTCTGGGAAAGCAGTTAAACAGTTCAAAGAAAAAAATAAACTATCCGGATGTTTCCAGAAGGTTATCGAAAGTAAACAAAAGAGTAACCTAAGTTTAGTAATAATTTAATAGTGTTTTTAAGTTCTTTAAAAATTAGTGTAAATAAATAGTTTTTGTCGTTATCAGTCTTAGAAGTTAATTTTGTTAAACCCACGAACATTACAGAAGGTTGAAGAGTGCATTCCACCCTATCCTCCAAATTTGAACTGCAGCATAGAACGAAAGTTCTGTCCGTTCACCAGCATTAATAGATGGCTGGAATGGAAACACTAAACAATTTTTTTTCTTGGTTTGGCTAGGAGATACTTTCGCAGGATCCTTGTGAAACGTATGCAATACAATTGTGGGATCAGAGCCAAGATTAGGGTCATAAAAGTTTAATGATTATGAAAACACAACCTGTATTATTCCTTCTATTACGAGGTTCTATAAAAGTAAATAGCCTTTTTTAGTTGTTTTTTATTTATTTTATTTAATTTGATTCATCAACGGAAATGACAAAATGGCAAAGATTGAAAAAGCAAAATATGTGAGCCCGAGAAAAAAATTATGAACTTTATTAAAAAATACATCAGTAAAAGCAAGAAATTGCACACATGAGCTATAGATGAGTAAAGAATCGCATTAAATGGTACCACAAACAAAGAAAAGTAAAAAAATGTATTGGTCAAACAACTGCAATAGAAGAAAATGTATAAATTAACGCAAGAAACCAATAAGTTAAGAAAGATTCACATTATTCAAACTTGCCTAATTTAAGATTAAGAATTCTCTTGTTGAATTTGAAGTACATCAACAAATGAAATCATACTATCACTATTATAAACAAGTAACCAGGGTCCATCAATAAATGGCAATCCTTATAGTATTTCTATCTCCCTCAAAATCTTCATTTACAATTCCTAAACAATTTTTTTATTCCCCATTGTATAGAATCCTTCTCTTTCCTATCTAAATATCCATCCCTTCTATCTCTTACCTGTTCTCATCTTTAGCAAGTAAACAAGCAAGCAAGTAATATTCCTTCCCAATTATTTTATTATAGTCTCCAGTAATCATAATAAGTATGCCCTTTTTTCTTTTTTATTTTTTTTTATATCCTGCAATTTCCATAGTCAGACAATTATCCCTCTCTCTGTTATCGTATCACTGCACTCTACCAAATCTTTGCTTTCATCACTCTCCTCTAATAGATGCAACAGTTTCCCCCCTCTCTTCATTTCATACATACAAATCTTCCTTCAACCAACAACTACATCTTCAGTCTTGTTATTTGGCTAGTAGGTAATTACCTTGGCAAAGTCTTAGAACCAAAGGGCAAAACGTAGGTTAATGTTAATAAGAAAACCTTTATCCCTTAATAACATTGAATTTCCATCTATTATTTATTAATCATTTGGGAAGATTTGAGACATATATTGAAGTAAATTGTTATTTCTAACTCAAAAGACATTGATTGATTAAGCTCCATAATAAGACGTGACACTTTATCAGAATTTTTATAATCATTAAACATTTACATTCTGATAATGTTGGCTTTGATTCCATAATTGAGAATTCAAATTGAACAAGAAATAGAACCTTTATGAAATACTACAGTCAGAGGTAGATACGAGTAGATGATCGGCTTTTAGTTTTTACTGCATCATTAAGTTTCGATTGGTAGTTTTAAGTTTATAAAAAATATATAAACTCAATTTAGTGGTCGTGAACATGTTGTATTATATCACTGAATATTTTTAGTTTACCACCAATATTTATTCAAACCTGATGAACAACTTTCCAAACTAAATGTAAAGAAGTCATTAAATCCTAATGTAGGAATATTTTACCTTTTTCCGACTATAACTGTAAAAATGGTAAGTTTAACAAAACATTTTATTCACATAAATATTATTTATCACCAATAATAATAAATAAATTCATCCTGTTAAAATTATTAACCTATATTTAGCTAAAATCATTTCTCAAGCCGCCTATTGAAGGGATAGTTTTGGTAAGCTATGGTGCCGGAAACATCCAATCTGAAAGGGAGGATCTTTTGGAAATTTTAAAACAGGCTGTTAACAGAGGAATTATTATCATTAATGTTACACAGTGCGTACAAGGAACCGTAAATTCTTCTTATGCAACGGGACAGGTACATAAGTCTACACATAAAATCATAAAAATTTAATGCAATAATAAGGTTCGATAATATAATTCGTTTATTGATATACCTATATTTTTACAGGTCTTAAACAGTATAGGTGTGCTGCCAGGATTTGATATGACTGCAGAAGCTGCTCTTTGTAAATTATCATTTGTTTTGGGACTAGAGGATAAGACTTTAATAGAAAAGAAAGCGGTAAGCATTTTCTTACACCTTTTTTGTTGAACAAAAACGTCGAATGTAAATGATGAATGTTGCCAAAAATAATATAGATACCTAGTCAGGGTTCCACAGCAACTAAAACCCTTACAGTTTCGGCCTGTCCATTCGTTGGTCTGTCTTTCACATACTTCCCTCCCTTTCATCCATTTCATTCACATGCCTTTTAAAAGTTGACGTGTGGTCATATAGATTGACCTAAAATAAGATGTTTTGGACACCTTCCCCCTAGGGTGAAAGTGTGGAGTACAGTATTTATAAACTAGCCAGATTAGTAATATGAAAGAGTGTATTACTTATAACATATTATTATGGCACCAGTAGTCGGTTATGTAGAATGATTAAATGACGTTCTGTAATATAAACTATTTACATACCCTTTTAGATGATACTAAAGGATTTACGTGGAGAGCTAAGCAGAAATGTTAACATTATTTGAGGCTCTGAAGAAATCACTAAACCTTCATAATAAATGAACACGTTTGTTTAGAGCAGAAGGCGAGTTTTGAGATATATACCCATGGGATGTAAATTCGTGAGAATGGTACCTAGGTATGTAAAAAAGTATATCATATAAAACGAGAAAGGAATTGTCTGCCATAGTCTATCTACATTTAAACTTTGATGTGTATTATATAAACAGAATAAATATCTCAAATGCTTTTAACTTTTGATCTTCCAATACGCCCACTGTCATTTTAACGTAATTTACATGTAATTATCTTATGTTTAATTACTTTCCTAACCAGAAAATTGTATACATATATCAAATAAGAGAAATATCATAAATGTAAAAGGAAAGATCTGCCGCCACTTTGCTGAACTTAAAGAACCAAAACATGTCACGGAATTGAACAGTCGGTGGTTTCTAGATTTACCTGACTCATAGGAACTTGAAGTTCTCTAGTAAATATGAGAATATGGAATACAATTTATTATCCACGTTTCGCACCAGTACAGAACAAATATTCTAACAATCTTTCTCGAATTTCTAAATGAACCCATCGAGAGCATAGACATTTCTTTATTTTGTGGTCTCTGTTGCCTTTTCTTTCCTGACTTTTCTAACTTTCTAGATATCGAAATTACAGATACTAGATCTTAATCGCACATAACAAACCATGTATGTACGCTAAAATATATAGGTACATACTCTACATAATGTATGTGTAACTTGAAATAAGCAAATGCAATGACAAGATAGTTTTTTTTTCTCTAATTTCTCTAGTTAACCTACCTACTTTAGTTTACTTAAATTGTTCTCATCAGCACGTCATTAGTAATTCCGTCAAACCGAAGCTGTTTGTTAATGACGAAATTAATAAATTGCTACAGATAGCGAATGCTGATTTGCTAAATAATCGAAGGAGAGAGACTAATGTAGAAGTCCAATTTAAATGTAGTAAGTTATAAATTATAAACACTACAAAAAAGCCGCCATTCCAACTGTAGCCCGCTGAAATTTATTAACGCATGTATCTTGCCTCAACTCATCAAACAATGTGTAGAGGGCGCCAACTATTGCTTCTTTCATTAATTGGATGAACCCAAATCACTCAATTTTTTCTTTCTACTTTTCTTTCAAGAACGGAATAACAATAACGCTAGCAACTGCTATTTGATCATTTCAAACTACACAAGTAATCAATAATCTGAATAACACAATTTTACTGAAGTAGTTTAATAAACTACATTGGAAATTCGATAAAAGTTTCCTACCAAAAAATCCGCCGCGTCTCTAGGCGACCTTATTTGTCAGAGAAACATAACGCTTGCGTTTTGAAGATTTTTCGAAACAACAACTATGGATCGGATAACAGAAGCTTCTACATGTTAGCCGAAACTGAGACTGAATGTTTAATCGAGAATTGGACTTCTATGCCACTCTCCCACATTAAGAAGTGGGCGAAACATGTGTCCATAGTGAAAAAATTTTATAATGGTAATTTGCTTTGACCATATAATATACACTGATCCGACGGGACTTGAACCCTGACGAAACTCTTGTACAAACCAGAGTGGGTGGATCGGCAGAGTTTCGATGATTTAGGTAGGGAGCCGAACCATATGTTCTACCATAAATGAGGAGAGGGAGTTCTTAAAGAGAAACCAGACTAAGAAAAGTCCTTGAAAGAGGGCAGCAGTTCTTTCAGTACTCAGGGTGGCAGACATTAAGAGGATCGGTATGAAACTCTGATGCATGATACTGCGATGTGGAAGGCAACTAGAAACCACTACTTTATGATATCCCAAGTAAAACCGAAATTAAATGATGTCGTTCTCTGGGGTAAAACACTCCGGGCGTAAACTAGTCCCCTATTCGGATGTCTGGGAGGGGAATACCTTGGGGGATGTAATCAATGAGTGCAACAGGAATATATTAGAATTAGATATAGTAGGCACTAGTGAAGTCCGTTGGCCCGAAGCCGGAGACTTCTGGAGTAGAGTCTTTAGAATAATAGAACAGGATCGGTGGAATATAATTCAGGGGTAGGAATAGTAATGGGCAAAGTGTAGAAAGTTGTTTATAAAAAAACGATAGGATAGTTATGACCAAATTAAACTCAAAGCCAGTAAAAGCGGTATTGGTGCAGGTTCACATGCCTACATCAGTGATGAAGACGTTGAAGCGGTTTATGCAGATATAGAAGACGTGTTAAGTTTAGTAAAAGGATAGAAAAACCTAATAGTTGTAGGAGATTTCAACGCAGTAATAGGTGATGGTAAAGACGGTGCAATACCAGGTTCTTTTAGATTAGGCAATAGAAATGATAGGGGAGATAGGCTGATAGAATTTTGCGATAAACATATAACTTAACCGTCGTGAATATTTTATTCAACCATCACGTTAGGAGACGCTATACGTGGAAGATGTCAGATGATTTAAGGAGATATCAGTTATATTTTAGGCAAAGATTTAAAAATCAAGCGAAGGACTGTAGGAGTTATCCAGGAGCAGATATAGATAGCGATAATAACGTAGTAGTTATAAAGACCAATCTTAAATTAAAAATTCTGAAAAAGAAGGAAGGTAGGAGACCTCTTGACTTAGAAAAGCTAAAATGTAACGGAACGGGTGATAGGCTAGGTACAAGAGATATAGAGACAGAATGGAACTGCATTAAAACGTGCCTAAAGTCAGCAGCTACAGATATACTAGGTCTTAAACAAAACGAAAGTAGGAAACCCTGGATAACAAATGAGATTGTAGGATTAATAGACGAAAGGCGGAAATACAAAAACAGGACAGACGAAGAAGGGCAAAAAAGATATAAAGCTATAAAGTGGGAAATAATTAGGAAGTGTAGGGCAGCTAAGGAACAGTGGATTGATAGGATGTGTAAAGAAGTAGAAGAAAAGTTTGAAGTAGGTAAAACCGATGAGGCTTATAATATAATTAACAGGAATTTTAGAGATGTAGGATACAGTAGTAATAATATAAGAAACGAGGCAGGGGTCATGTTGATAGAAAATGAGGAAAAGGCAGATAGGTGGAAAGAATATTTAGAGAACCTTTACGCAGGCCCTGAGTTAGGAGATATATTAGAGAAGGAAGATAGTGTGGAAATAGATGAGCTTGGTTATCCCATAATGAGAGAAGAGTTCGATGTAGCATTAAAAAATTTAAAGAATAATAAGGCGCCAGGTGTAGATGGGATACAGGGGGAAATTCTAAAACATGCAGGACAAGAGGTTAGAGATCGTATGTTTAAGTTAGTTAGTCACATTTACGAAACGGGGAAAGTCCCAGAGGATTATAAACGGAACGTAGTAGTAACATTACCTAAGAAGAGGGGCGCGGATAGGTGCGAGAAATTTCGAACAATTAGCTTAACTTCCCATGCGTCAAAAATCTTAACTAGAATTGTACAGAGGAGGATGGAAAAAAGGGCGGAAGAACTATTAGGGGAAGATCAATTTGGGTTTAGAAGAAATAGAGGAACGCGGGAGGCCATTCTAGCTTTACGGGTAGCAATAGAGAAAACGATAGAAAAAGGAAAGAGTGCGTACATAGGATTTGTAGATTTAGAGAAAGCTTTTGACAATGTTAAATGGGACAAGATGTTAAATATACTTAAAAATGTAGGGATGAATTACAAAGATAGAAGAGTGATACTTAGTTTGTATAAAGAGCAACAGGCAGTTATAGAGCTGGGGATGCAACGTAGAGAAGTAAATATTAGGAAGGGAGTCAGGCAGGGATGCACACTGTCACCGCTACTTTTTAATCTATACATCGAAGACGCCATCAACATCATTAAAGACAGTACAACTGTAGGGATAGATGTGCAAGGGCAAAAGATTAGTATGCTTAGATTTGCAGATGATATAGCAGTATTAGCATCTAGCAAGGAGGACCTAGAGATAGCTTTAAATAAAATGGAAGCGGTACTGACAGATCAGTACTGTATGAAAATAAATAAAAGAAAAACTTAAATACTGGTATGCAAGGGAAGAAAAAGTAGGGAAAGAGCGAATATAAAGATAGGAGACGAAAAATTAGTCAGGACGGAAGGAGTAGTAGGGATGTAAAACAGAGAATAGCGCAGGGTCCTGTCGCCTTTAATAAAAAGAAGTCGCTTGTATGCTCGAGGACGGTTAGTTTAGAAATTCGAAAAAGATTGTTAAAGGTGTATGTTTGGAGCCCGGCGTTGTACGGGTGCGAAACATGGACAGTGGGAGCGGCGGAAAAGAAAAGGTTAGAAGACTTCGAAATGTGTTGTTATAGGCGAATGATGAGGATAACGTGGGTAGAAAAGATTAGAAATGAAGAGGTATTAGAAAGAATAGGAGAACAGAGGACTCTATAGAAGTCAATAAAGAATATGCGAGATAGGTTGGTAGGACACCTTCTCAGGCATGAAGGTCTAGTCAGAGACATATTAGAGGCAGAAACAGGAGTTAGGACGGGTACAGGTAGACCTAGGTTAGATTACTGTTCGCAAATAGTTAAGGATGTGGGTTGTTCTAGTTTTAGAGAAATGCGAAGTTTAGCTCAGAATAGGAAACAGTGGAGGTACGTGTCCAGCCAGTCTTAGGCCTGACAACCTTATGATGATGACATAAAAAATATATAGAAAAAACTGCGTATGTTTATGTTGTTTTCATTATTAGTAATGTATGTTTTTCTTACCTCAAATTAAGTAGTGCAATTGATTGTTCCAGTTCATTTTAGTTGCGGTATTTTAAACACACCCCTCTGATAGTCGACATGGTTAAATGGAGACTGCATTCTAGGTCTCGCTGTATCGTTAGTCAGCTGCTTATCTATGGTCAACTGGTTGTTTGTGTTTTGTATTTTAACGGTTACTCGGATTTCGTCTTTAGCCATAGTTTCTAGCATTTTTAGTAGTTTGCTGTTCGGTTGTTCTTTTTTATCGTGTGATATTAGTCTTGTGAAAAGGGACATTTTTTTATAATTTATGTACGAATTGTAGAACTAAGTTCAGCAGAAGAATCTTTAAAGGTGTAAGAAATGTTTATATCCATATTCATTTATTTATAATATAATTTAGAAATCTTTGGTAGGTATAATGCTATAATAAGTATACAAGTAAATTTATTTTATAAAACAGTAATGTTCAATATTCAAGAAAAAGAGCAATTCTGGAGTGAAGGTTCTTTATTACATTTTGTAATATACATCCTACGTTTCGCTCTAGTGTTACAAGCCTCCTTCAGGGTAAGATTATGGTGTGTCACAAACTCAATTTTTTGTAGGTGTCACGGAACATTGCTAACATATCGAATAAACCAATAAATAGTTTTTTCTATGATAAGTATTTACAAATTAGCGTAAGGGTAAAACATTTGGTTATTCGGTATTTTAACAATATTCCACAACACAAAAAATTGAGTTTGTGATACCATAGTCGTACCCTGAAGAATCCTTGTAACCCTTAGACGAAACGTAGGTTGTAGATTATAAAATTTAATAAAAACTTTCACTCCAGAATTGCGTTTTTTTCAGTATTAGCATTCTTGGGGAAAAATTAGTAACTATGTTAATATACAATATTTATTAATTAAATGGTTCATATGTAGATGTGTAATATTCTGAACAATATGAGGCATTATATGTGTATTAACAATTGCAATAATACTAATTAGTTTTGTGCAATGTTAAACATAAATTCTAATTATTACAATTATCATTTTGGACAAATTTTACGTTTGGTGGCTTTTAACACTTAACACACCTACCTTTAGGTACCTACAGGATAGGCATATGAAACTAATCAACCCTGCACCCTGCTATTAATTGGAAGTTTCTTTTGAGAATAACTATGAATTGTGGATCAAGAAGGTGCAAAAATTTTGTAATATTAACATGAGTGAAAATTCTTATCAAATTGCACTTTGTTAGTAATTGATTATCCGCTTTAATAATATGAGAATAACAACTTTATATATTTGACTTAAAGGCGGTTCTCAATTCGACTGTATTTTTTTGTGGATACGTTTTATGTTGAAGAAAATATTCCACCTACAAGGGTGCAAAATTAGAGGATGATAAAAAATAGGAAAACCTCGTTATTTCAGTCTGATCTTTTTAAGTCTTTAGTTTGGGTTCGTGAAGGATGATTGCACCTGTTTTCGACTATTTAATGTAGTTGCCAGCTTTGAGACGCGAACAAACAGTTTTCCAATAAAGTAATGTCGATAATTTATATTATGAATTTATTGCTAGTATACTTTATTTTATTTAACCATAAGCTAATTACTTGTATGATTTTTTCTATAAAAAGACAATTATACGGATTTTTCAATTTTTGTCCACAAAAGCTATTTGTCCAGTTTTAAGTCGGTTTTAGACCACTTGCAAAACAGGAAATTATATGGTAAAATAAAAAAAAATATAGATACCTACTTGTTAAGAAAGTAATACAGATCGTAAATTATAACACATTATAGTAAATTACTTTTTTCTTATACGAGGGTGGATTGATAAGTTTCCGGCCTGACCAAGAAAAACAAGGTTTTTAAAAATTTTTTTTTTTTATTTCTCAACATAATCTCCTCCAAGGCTGATACATTTCTCATAGCGGTGTTCCAGTCTATTAATGCCATCTCTATAGACTGATTCGTCAAGCTCCTCAAAATAACCATTTACAGCTTCGATTACTTCTTCATTGTCCGCAAATCTCTTACCGCCAAGCCATTTTTTGAGATTAGGGAACAGAAAATAGTCACTCGGGGCTAGGTCTGGAGAGTAAGGAGGGTGCGGCATCAATTCAAACTTTAGATCGTTGATTTTAGCCGTCGCAACGATTGACGTGTGCGCTGGTGCGTTATCGTGATGAAACAAGATTTTTTTCTTCGCCAGATGAGGTCGTTTAATTTTCACCTCGTGGCTCAAACGTTGCAATAAGTCTGCGTAGTATTGACCAGTGATAGTATTACCCTTTGCAAGGTAATCAATGTATATAATACCTCTTGCATCCCAAAAAACAGTAGCCATAACCTTGTTCGCCGAAAAAATTGTTTTTGCCTTCTTTGGAGTTGGTTCCCCTGGTCCAATCCACTGTTTAGACTGTTCTTTGGTTTCAGGAGTGTAGTGGTGGACCCACGTTTCGTCAACGGTTACGAATCGACGCAAAAATTCGCTTGGATTACGCTTATACAATGACAAATTTGCGGTAGAAATGTTTTTTCGAATCAATTTTTGGTCGACTGTTAGCAAACGCGGCACCCATCTTGCACAGAGCTTTTCCATATGCAAATGTTGGTGCAAAATATGTTGCACACGTTCATATGACATCTTACAGGTCTCAGCTATCTCACGCACTTTCAATCTGCGGTCTCCCAGCACTATTTGATGAATTTTTTCGATCATATCTGGAGTTGTGACCTCAACGGGGCGTCCTGAGCGAGGCCCATCAGAGGTGCTCACACGACCCTTTTTAAACTCGGAAACCCACTGCTTAACGGTTGAATATGACGGGGAGGATGTCCCCAGTGTTGAGTCCATCTCTTTTTTAATTTCCTTCGGCGTTAACCCCTTCAAATAAAAGTATTTGATGACAGCACGATTTTCCTGCTTTTCCATTTTTACGAAAACCACAGAGGCGTCTTGTTCAGCGTGCTGTCAAACCTACACTAGCAAGGAGATCGGGCTGAAACTATAGCTACAAGCTATCCAAGGATGGTACTATAGAATGTCACCTCAAGGTAGGCCTAGTGGCGTCATCTCTTGGTTAGGCCGGAAACTTATCAATCCACCCTCGTAAAGTCCAATTCATATAAAAACAGTACATTAGTACATCAAAATTATTATCTTCTATCATTTACGGGTGGTTTGGTACACCAGAATTGTTCTTTTCGTTTGTAATAGGAATGAACAAAGTTTTAGGTTTTAAAGTTCAGTCAGTCATACAGAAGCAAATAACGGAAAACTGTAGGTCCCACTACAACACAGTCAATCGACTGGACCAAACTAGATGTTTGATTGAAAAGCAATTAAAAAATAGTTTAAAGTTAGTTTATATGTTTTCTCAATTAACAACTACAAATTTTCCTCAATTGCTTCTGTTTTCGTAAACATTTTGCGTAATTAGTAACCCAGTATTCGTCCATTACATTTGGACTAGTCAATTATAAAAAATAATTTGCACGTTTTATTATGTTCAATATGTGTTCAATAAGTACCATAAACAAATACAAAACATTTATCATGCCAAAAATTACATAAAAACTTACTAGAAAGTCATTGTGCCTTACTATTTTTTTTTGCGATTTATTGACACATCTTCACTACACAGAAGTAAGTCTCCAAATAATGAGATCATTATTTTGCAATCAACTTATCTAGTAATCTATTATAATAATTTTTATATTGCATAAATATTAGATTTTCAATAAATTGAAGCATGCACGATGATTACCTTTAATGTTATAGTTGAAAACAGGTGAAATCACCCTACTTAGGTAAAGTATTGAAAAGGGTTTTATACGTCGGTGCTTATAAATTATATGTACATTTTTTTAAAACAATTGACATGCACCTATAGCTGACACCCATGTGTTAATGTGAACCAATCCTATTGTTAAAATAAATATAAAGCACCTATACCTTACATGAGAATTAAATACATTAAATGTGATAGCTACTAAATAATATTAAATATACCGACGAATAAAGACTGACTATTGATTGCGTAGGTATATGCACAAACATAATCTAAAGGGTCAAAAAATTCAAATAGGGTGACACTTGAGATGTATCCTATAGAATATGAAAGATGAAATGGAAATATAAATAAAAAACCGATTAGATTCGTTTGAGGGTAGGTACCCCGAGGTTGTATATAATTGAAATGTTAATAGGGATTACAGGAAAGTACAGCAATAAAGTTATTTACACCGATAGGCAGAATATAAAAGAAATATAGTCGAACATCTAAAATATTTACAGGAAGACATGCAAAAGAAATACACTTACTACAACGCAAATACAATTGAAAAGGATTTTGATTGCTTTTATAATTGAAAATAGAAAAGAATTATTTGAAACGATATTTGCCTAAATTTGAATAAAGGAATGCTTAAGTGACATTTGAAGGAATTAACAAAAGAAAGAAATTTAAAATAAAAACATGAATATTAGCTATTATTTATAAGAATTAATTGTGCTGTATTTGGTGGAAACATGTATCCGCCACAGTACCCCCCCTCCTGTCCTGTAGTCACGGTAATCCTTATCGCGGTCTGGAAACCGCAGCCTGCGCCCTGTCCGCATTGTTCGCTGCAGTGATGATTCCGGTCGTCACAGTGCAGTTCCAGTCTCGCTGGTGCTTCCCAGTGGACCGACGCCTGCTGGACCTCGATGGTTCTCTGTTTGTCGTTGTAGTTGTCTAAGCCAGCTACGATGTATGCCACTATTAGTCTGTTTATCAAGACTTTGATATTTTGTCCACGAATGTTGACGACGAATATCTTCTCTGTACGAGAAGCAACTTTGTATGGACCATCGTATCGTTGTTGGAGTGGCCCTTTTGGTCCATTCGTGACATAGAAACATGTCTGTTGCGGTTGTAATGGTACCACCTACAGGTCGCAGATGCTGTACTTGTTGCCGCAGTTTTTGTACAGAGTCCGAGGTAATGTTTGATTCTTGGGCGTCTTTCTCAGGAACTCGTCCGGAAATCGTAGGGGTTCGCCATAAAGCACTTCTGCGGTTATGGATTGCACATCTTCCTTCCAGACCAATTATATCACTAACATAATCGTTGGATGGGTATCTGTCCATTTAGCGGGGTGGTGCCACTCAATCACTGCCTTCAATTGTCGGTGAAGTATTTCAACCATCCCATTCGCTTCTAGTAGGCTTTTCTTAAATGAGTCGCACCTATCAGATCTCTGAACAGTTGCGATTCAAATTGCCCTTCTTGGTCTGTCGTAATGCGTAGCGGAGCCTCAAAACGAGCTATCCAGTGCAAATAAAAATTGCAGGCAACTGTAACGACGACCTCTTGACCTTTAATTGGAATAGCCTCTGGTCAGAGGGAGAATCGATCCATGCATG